GAAGACACATTTGAACTCCTCCAGTTCAAAGGTTGGAATAGTTCACTATGAAATTTCAGGGGTGAACCAGTTAATAAAACTAAACAGTTAAGTAGACCTAACAGCAGCCACAGGCCACAGTCATCAGGGAAGACTCAGATCCTTAAGAGGGAGATTTGAAAAGTATTTTCTCACGTTATGCTTTCTAAAAAGCTTGCCCTACCTACAAATGTCCCTTAACCCCTGCCCTAAAGGGTTATATTTTAAAAGAAGCATTTTTCTACGATCACCAAGACCCGAAATACTATTTTTCTATATTTACATTTTTACTGCAAGATCCTAGCTATCAGCATTACCAGAATAAATTACATTTATAGAGCTGGGAAAGCAATTTGATCAGGGTCATTTTGAAGCTTCTCTTCTCATCAATACTCATACAAAGACAATTTTTTACGATAAATTCACATGAACACTTTTTGGGAGTTTGAACATTTTGAAATTATTTTTAGTTACGTAAGAAATGCAGAAATATTATAACATATATAGGTTGTCTGGTATTGACTAGTGAAAAAAATACACACTTTAGTTATGAGCTAGGTCTGGTGATCAAATTTCTGTAGAAGAGATGCGATTGGAGATAAAAAGAAATGAAAATAAATGCATTTCTTTCCTTGACAAGATTTCCTTGCTTATAATAAACATACGGGCGAGCAAATTTAAAGTCAGAAAAATGGAACTCTTCCCTGTTGGAGATGCTGCAAATTACCATGAAATTTTTGCCCAAGCAAACTTTCACTATTTGCCCATGCAATCAATTTTTGCCTAGTAATTGCACTATCCCAGTTTATTTACTACACTCATTATGTTGTTATTAACGTTTGCTGTTATGATAAGTTCACCATCAATCATTAATTAAGGAGGATTTAAAAGGTGAAAATGAAACTGTATGAAAACTTCCCGGTATGACAGAATGATCTGCATATATCTACATATACCATAACCCAGACATTATTAGTTGCTATAGTTACCTGCTGAAAACAGCAGCACCGGTCACTTTCAACACCTTGACAGCGTGTCCTCCAGTACTGAGTGAGGGCAGGGGGCCCGACACCATGGTGTCCGTGTATGTCACAGGGGAGACAACTGTGCTTCCGATGATCAGCGACCCAGAGCTACCAAATCCGGAGCCGGTAATTGTTATCACTTCTCCACCTGGTGTCACGTAACAACAAGGGAGATAAATCTGTGTTAAAGACTGTTTTCATGATAATGATATTTACACTACTAATTTTAATCAAACTCTGGTATTTTCTAGTTGTTCGCAAATTTTGTGGTTTCAAAAAACAAAACAAAAAAATAAAAAAATATTAAAAGTAAAATCATTTCATGATACATGAATTTACAGATTGGATTGGACTAGGTTTTCATATTTGTAAGGCCTGTGTTATGACCCTAGGATTAAGTCCCCAAGAATGAGGCCATACCCCTGAGCTAATCCTGGTAGTGCAAGTGTGTTCATGTCCAGAAAATTGTTATGGGATGAGGAACTTAACTGCTTCTTTGTAATGACTAAATCAGGTGATGACTAATTCTAATGCCCTGTTGCAGGGCTGAACCTCTGAGCCAATCCTGGTAGAACAAGTACTGTAATTATTTTTTCAAGCCTTACAATGTTGACTGTGTATACATTTTTACACTGCCCTCAAGAGCCTAAATATTTCATTAAAAATTGTAGGCTTTTATAAATCTGAAATCACTCAGTTTTGCTGAAATTTGCCCTGCTCCTTAACCCTTAGCGATGGCCACACCCTTCTCTGATCAGTTGTTAAAGAGTAGCAGGTTTTAAAAGAAAAATATTGATAGACAGATCAAGGACAATTATTGGACAGATGCCACAACACAGCATATGCTTATTGGTCCTATGCCCCAGGTGAGCTATAAATAGATGCAAAAGCGTATCACAAATGCTTTGAAAAATAATTCAATTTTCAGAACAGCTTGTGCTCCTTTAAACATTTTAAAATCACATGCAATTAACTTTGACCTAAATTCACTGACCTTTGACACTTGAAGTGGCATGACTGATGGAAGATATCTGTCCTGTGATGGCGGAGTCGTACGTAAAGGAGTCGGAGGCTGTGATAGTGGCAACACCGGTCATGGCCAGCACAACGGTCACAGAACCTGCTGATGTCTGCAAAAATAGCGGTAAAATATGAAACGAAAAAAAATCCACAACAATCGGTAGCTATAGTTACTTAAAACCTGACCTTACCAACACTTGAATTCTAAGCCAACCCGCAACATAAATCATTATGGCTCCTGAAATCTTCAATTAGAATCATCAATTTGGAAATATGTCATTTCAAAGTTTTACTTTATACACAAACATTGTATATATAAAATGTGTCGCAACGTTTCAAGACTGACTGCCCCATTTGTCAAGCCATGACTGAGTGAGTGATTTGTATTGTTTATTGTTTACCTGTACAACGATAGGATGAAATTGTATATATCATATGTCACTCGACCTGGTGTAACAGCTAGCCCCCTCCC